TAACAAATTTTGCTGTCAAAGTATCAAAAACTCGAAAAAACACTAGATGCGGTTGATAGATCCATGTCCACATCTTCTAAAAGGGTGTTTCTGCAGATATATTGCAACATAGACTTAAAAGCCTTTGATTTTAAATCACTATGCCCTTTGGAAATTTTTGCATGTTGCTCATCCATGTGATTGGGCACTTCCTTCTCTCATATTCCCTTCCAATAAAATTGATAATAACACTGGCCTTAGCCGTAACAACTTTAACCGCACTTTCAATGTTGATGACCATATCGTATTTTATGGTGCAATGCAGCAATAATGCCACTAACAGATGATATTCCATCAATAACCTTGCAGAAGTGACCTATTCTCAAAACAAAGCCATGTTGACATATATTTCATTGTGCATTCTCTCCTCTTTATGGCTGTGAATGTCTTCCTTCACGAGCATCTTCTGTGAATTTCTGTTTCAATGATTGGCCATGCATGACTCACATTTCTTGACAACACTTCGCTTTTCAGCAACGAAGTTCTTTCATCAACCACCGTAGGTGAGGGATTAGAAAGCTCCAAGCCTCCGACACCATCTTAGAATTAAGATATAGTGTAGCAAATGAGCCATAACATCTGGTATTAATGGGAGAAATATATATACATGGGAAATTATCTTTTTACACGGTATAAAAATTATTACACCTAATTTGAGTTTTTTATTTTACTTAAATTTAATGGTCAGTAAAGTAATAAATTATAATCTGTTAGATTTAAGTCAAATAAAAAACTCAGATTATGTATAAGAATTTTTATACTTATAACAATAAGACTCTATATATATAATTTAATAATTTTTTATAAAATATAAAATTGATTGATATAATCGTTAAATTATCTTATACTATTTTTTTTATCATTTATATTAAATTTTATGAAATTTGAACCGTAAAATTATTATCTAAAATTTAATATTTTTATTTATATTTTAAATATATTATTTGTTAAAATAAAATAATATAATTAAATACTTAATAATTTTATATTTTAATAAAATTAATTTAATTAATAAGAATTTTTGAACATGTTCCCTATACACATAAATTAAGATATTATTAGTGTTGAAAAAAGTCCATACTAATTCCAAAAAATTAACATTGAAAGTATTAATATTTCTTTAAAATTTTATTTAATTTAAAAGGTGAATCTCAAAATTGTTTTTTAAAAGTCTTTTTAAGTTTAATAGGTTGGCATATAATAATAATAATAATAATAATAATAATAATAATAATAATATTTTAAAAAATATTAGTTATTAAATTAAGGTTTAAATATAATTTTAATTTTTATAAATATAGCATGTTTGGTAATAAGTTTTTATATAATTTTTATTAAGATTTAGTCTCTAAAATATTAAGATGTTATGATTTAATTTCTATCATCAATTTTTTTTGTTAAATGTTAAATTAGTTAAAGGAAAGTCATTCAATACTTAAACATCTTTTAATTGTTAAAATATTTTAGATTTAATTATATTTTTTTTATCCCTACCAATGTAATATATTTTTTGATAAATCTTTATAAAATATTTTATTAAGATTTTGTCTGCATCATTAACTCTTTTTCTATTTAATGTTGAGTTGAGTCATGACTCTCATGTATTGCCATATTATTTAAATTTTTAAAATTTTATTATTTAAAATTATAAAATTTTGACATGTTTTAAATATTCATAAAAAAATTCATCTAAAATTCTAATCACCTTTTCTTTAGTATCTTCTCCTTTTCTGTCTCTTTCATTTGTGAAATTGTATTCCCTCTCATTGTATTATTTTATTTTTTATCCATTTTTTTAATTACATTCTAAATTTTAGAGATTAAAATTATTACTAAATAATTAATCATATTTTGATCATACTTGTTAAGTTGTAATGTGATTTAATTATATAATATTAATATTTAATTACTTTTAAATTGGATGCATTTATTAAGAAGATTTTAATTAGATTTGAAGTATCAAAATATTTTAATTTCAAATTTTTAGCATATTTGATTCATGTTTATTATTATTAGATCATACCTAATTAGAATTAATATAAATAATTTATTTTTCTTCTTTTTTTAGTACATTTGAATTATATTTTGAATTACTTTAAATTTTCTTTATTATTTTCCGATTCAAGCTTTTACTTTTTTAGTATTCGTTTTCTTTTTTGTTCTTATTGTTTGTTTTCTCTTTCTATGTTTTATTTCTCTAAGTTTGTGGATGTAAATATGAAAGACTAAACACTTAAATGTTGATTCTTTAATTTATATTCAATAATTAAAGTTTAAAATTTTGTCCTTAATTAAATTTGAATATGATTTACCTCTTATCCTTAATCATATTATTAGGTTTTATATGATTTTTTTTCTAATGGTTTTATTTTTGAATGTGCATACATGCTTCATGATATTTGAATTCTAATATAACTTTTAATACATAATTAACAAAAATTTTAAATCACATAAATACTTAATTATACATATTTGATTAAATTGAATGTTTTATTTGCATTGTGTTGACTTCGTATATGAATTTGAATAAAATTTGATTAATAAATTAATAAATATTTTATTTAACATAAATTTAATAAATATTTTATATGCTATTTACAGTAAAAATTTCTTTTAATCTAGTTATTACTTATTGCTTAATCAATCATCTTAGATTAAATTAAAAGTGAAAACGTATTTAATAATTTGTAATATGTGATAATTCTTATATTAAATTGAATGAAGAATTAATCTATAAGTCATCATTGTTAATTTGTCTATTTTATTTTGTGTTTTTAATAATAATCAATCAACCTTTAATCTCTTCTTTTTAATTATTGTTAATTCAAATTTAGTGTGTATGTATTATATTTAATTTAGTTATCATTGTTTTAACAAACATGACCTAAATTGACTTACCTAATATTACATTATTTTTGAATAATTATTTTGACCCAATGTAAGTTTGATCACTTTTCATTTATAAAAATTCTCCATCACTTTGTATAAAATTCAAATTTCCTATAAATACTTATGCTTGTATTTATAAAAATTTTCTATGAATCTTATATAAACTTCTATTTTCTTATAAATATTTGTGTTTATGTTTATTAAATTTATAATACTTAATCTATTATTTTGAGTATTGTCAATCAAATTATGAGTAATTGCATATTTTTAGTTTCATATAGAAAATATGTTTTATCTATTAGAAATTGCAAAGTTTATAATTTCCATCCATTTTTTTACAAAATTTGTATTAATTCTTAAACTCCTTGTTTTTAGTTAATTATAATAAATTTATTTTTAACATTAGAGTATTTTTACTCTTCTTTATCTATCACAATATCATATATTACATTAACAAATTTTTAAGAAAATATTATATATATGTAAATTACACTTTTATTGAAATATTCATGATAATTTATCTAATATTTATTAGTATATTATATTCGATTGATTTTATAATAATGTAAAATTCTTAACTTGTACGTCTTTTGATATTTATAACATATTTTGATATTTCATATTTATAAAATTATTTTTTTAATTATTAATTTATTTATATATTTATTTTAAAATTAAATATCTATGCATTGCACAAGCTACTAAATTAGTTAAGGTAAAATGACACTCTTTAATTAAAATATTCATATTAGTTAAAATAATTATAGCATATTTGAATTAATTAAAATGCATAATAATTTTCTTGTGCATTATATGGATATTGTTAACTTAAATAATTAAAATAAATAATTAAAAATATATTATACGAGTACTCTTAAATTTATAATTTTAATAAATTTAAAAATGAGTAAATATTATAATTATTAATAATAGATATTTTATTATATTAAATAACATAAAAATAAATTTTATAAATATTAAATCAATATTGAATTAAAAAATAAATACAAAATATTAAAAAAACTACTTAGAATAATGGAAAAAACTTACCTTAAAAATTGTTTTATTTGAAAACATTCCTAAAATACTGATGTTTATAGAAACGTCTTTGTTTAATAATTAATACTAACAAATTATATTCAAAGGTTGATTAGAATGTATGGTAAGTTATATCAATAGTTAATTTTTAAAATTAATAATTTATACATAAAATAATACATACTCTTATAATATTTTAAAATGCAAATATTTTACTTGTAATTAAATTTTAATATATACAATTATATTATATATTTAGAGAAAGTTCAATGATACTATCTAATTCAAATTAAATTAATTTTAATAAAAAAATACCTATAATTTTAAAAGACTCAAATAACAAGTAATTTAAAAATAATATAAATAATTAATATTTATTTTTCACATAAATAAGAGCAACAATAAATGTTATTAATAGGTATCCCTTTTTTCAAGAATATCCTAGTTATGAGGATTATACACTCATAATTATTTTTAATTTCTAAATTTTTAAAAAAGCCCTAATAACAATCCACTGTTCACCTACTATAAAACTCAACCCAGCCTTTCATCCACAGTTAAATAATAACTGTGGTTAATAAATCTTCTTCTAATATTCATATCTTAAAAAATAATGGTATCATATTGTTTTTTGTCTTCATTCAATAAAAATATTTTATTTTATTTTTAAAGTAAAATATTCAAATTCCTCATTTTTCTCTTTTCAAGGAAACTGACATTAGCATTAAAAGAAAATAAAAAAGGAGAGATTTAGGGCTAAAAAAAAATACAAATAACATTAGCATTTGGCAAGTTAAGAGACAAGTTGGTGGTGGCAAACCAAAAGTTAAATGAGGTCACAATAGGTTTGGTTATGGAAGCACTCTCTCTAGTTTCTCTCTATTGATACTGGTATGTCTTCCTTTCTTTTTCTCTATTTTTTTTACTTCCAATAAAAAATTGATTTTATTGATTTTTACTTCTCATGAAAATTACAAATCTAATCGGTTTGAAAAACATATCTATATATTATTTTATTTTCTGAAAGTATTTTCATTTTTTTATTTTCTGAAATTCTTTTCATTTTCAGATTTTCAAAAACCCTCTTAGATTTTGAAGAAGAGGGTCTGCATCTGTTCAAAACTTGAACTTTAGCCCCTCTTTCATTCTCCAAAAACACCATCTGCAATTTTAGATTTTTAGCCACTGAAACAAAGCGCGGGACTCCCAAAATTCTCTCCTCCTATTTTTCTCTCTTTCTCTCTCTTAGTAGTTTAGATATAGAGAGAGAAAGCACAGCGCTTTCTTTCTCCAAAAGCTACGACCCATGATTCTCAATCGGTACCTTTTCTCAATTCTCACCTTAAATGCTTACATACCCAGTTTCGCTTTTTTTATGTCTGCATTTTTTATTCATTTTTCGCTGGCGGTGGGGGAATAAAAATGGAACCTTTAAAATCATGCTTGTGTTTGTTTTTTTTGGATTTTAATTTGACATACGTGGCAGGGTGGTGATGATGGTTGATGGGGCTGTCGTGGATTTTGCTAAAACCCCTTAGAAGAGTTTGAAGTTGAAGCTGGTGCTAGTGTTGTAGTATGTTTTGATCAATTCATTGGTGTGTGGTTTTTGAAAGAGATCCGTGCTTAGAAAATGTTGAATGATGGGCAACCCTTGGATTTGTATAAGCTTTTCATGGTGGTGAAGGAGAAAGGTGGATATGATGCTGTTTGTAAGAACAGGTTGTGGGATTTGGTGGGGGAAGAATATGGTTTGGGTGTGAAGGTTGGTTCTTCTGTGGAGCTGGTTTACAGTAAGCACTTGAGTGCTCTGGAGACATGCCTGAAGAATGCTGCTGACAGTAAGTTTCCTGAGTGTGGTTTAGTGGATGATAGAGTTAAATTTCGCAAGCGTTTGATGGAGGCGCAAGCTGAATTCTTGGTGGATGATTATGGTGCGGAGGAGGTGGATGATGAACTCGAGAGGAGGGGGTATGATTGTCCGGATGGGAGAAAGTTGTGCGGTACTAACAGAGTGAAGGGCGTGAAACCAGAGTCCAATGTGGCTGAACTCGAGAGGGTATATGACTATCTAGACGGGAGGAAGTTGTGTGGTGCTAATAGAGTGAAGGACATGAATCTGGAGTCTAATGGGGCCAAGAGAGTTCGGACTGTAGGACTTGTTGATTTTGATAAGCTGGACCATGGGATAAATGAACCTATTCTTGGAAACTTGTGCAATGACAATGCTGCAATGGAAATACTTGAAGAGGTTGATAGAGGCAAATCATTCACTCTGGATGCATCCAATGCAGAAAACAACATGCCTGGATTGTCAGATGGGGACAAGAGGTGTGATAATGATGGTGATGAAGTCATGAGACTGGATCCATCTAGTGTTGACATGGAGGGCTTTGGTCGTAAGAGGAAGAGAGAGTCCATATCGGAAATGCTAAGCTGGGTTACTAGCATTGCTAAAAATCCTTGTGATCCTGTGGTTGGTTCAATGCCTGAAAAGTCAAAATGGAAGTCTTACAGTAATCAGGAGATCTGGAAGCAGGCTTTGATGTTTCGAGAAGCTGTCTCGGTGAAGAAGGATTTTGAGACAATCAATGAACAACTTAGTTGGCAGGTAATATGAAAACGCCATATGCTCTTTGTTTTTCATGCAGATCATTAATGAAATATGAATTATAGTGTAGGGTTGTAAGTCATTGTTTTGTGCTGAGACCAGACATCATGGAAAAGAAAATCCTTATATATTTTGGATAAATTTATTTCTTGAATTATCTAATTGAATAGATGTCTTGACTCTTGATGTGATTTCTTTGAAACTATTACCATATTTTCTGATGTAGGCCCTTTCACCATTATCATTATAATTATAGTATTTATATATAGAAATCATGGATGGCTTATTTCTACATTTTTTCCCTATCATTTACTAATGTGTTGGTATTTGTGGATAATGTCTACTTACTGTTTTCTGGTTTCTGGATGCACCTATCCATATTGTTTGCATTAGGTTTTTTACTACTTTATTATCCCCATTACAAAATTTGGTTTTTCGTTTTGGTCTTTTTATGAAAAATGTTTATAAACAAGTCCTTGAACTAAAAAATATTTTTGAAATGATCCCTACTATTATTCCACGTTACAATGCTGTTATTTTATATTACTATTATTTATTTATTTTGACTCCTATTTGTAAGATATGTTTTCATTATGGCCTTTATATATAATATATCTTTTATTTGATCCTTACATGGTTTTTTTAAAAATTAATCTCTATACATTATGGAATAGAATTAAGGATGAACTTTCACAAATCTCTCCATCAAAAAAGAAAATCAATGATTTTTGTCCTCAAAAATCAACTTACATTCTTTCCTTTTTATGTTTTATAATAAGTAAAATCAAAATACTTGTTTCTCAAACACTACTCGCAACAATTTCTTTTGCCATCTTTTGCAACAATTTTATTTAAATTAAGTTAGTAAATCATCCCTTGTTATTTGCTATGATTCACCATATCCATCAAGCAATGCTACTGCTACCTTTGACCGTCCCCTGTTTACAAGCTCCTTATGCCATCACCATTTGTAGTCAACTCGACCACTCATTTTTGTAAAACATGTCAAATCTTTTCAATCTTTCTTGTCATGATCTTCCCGGTAAGAGAAAATGTGAACTAGCTTTCAAGTGCTAGAGTCATTAATTTTTTTTATTATTTAAAAGTGTATTGGAAGGCTCCTCTTTTGTTTTGTTCTTTTATCACATAATTTAAAATCTATGATTAAATTTGTTTAGACATTTATGTACAATTATCTTGAACTGCTTATTTTTCGTTTTGGTGCATTGTACTCATTCTCTACTTCCACGCTATGTTTCGGTATCAATAAAGACTAATTTAAAATGATTTTTTTATATTGAGACTAAAATGAAAAAATGTGTAAAACATGAGATAACAACAGAGACCAATTCAAAAACAATTTTTTGTTCAGGGATTTGTTTACAATTGTTTTTGATGCAAGGACTAAATAAAAAATATAGGTTCTGTATTCGGACTAAAAGAACATTTAAACCTTTATATTAAAATATCTGTACTTTAAATCAATCATTTGTTGATTTTTTTCCTGTTGAGTTTGAGTGTGGTAATTTTCTTAGTTGTTAGAGTGACTTTTATGCAGTCTTTAATTATGGTATATACTTATTGCTTAAATCTGACCACATTGTCCATCATTTAATTCTTAAATAATTATTTTTTATTTCCTTTTTATATGCAATGCTTCAATTTAATGTTGTTAGGCCATGTTTCATTTCAGAAATCATTATTGATCTTGATATGTAATATAAAAGGAGAATCTAGCATGTAAAATTTTAGCAAATATTGTTGTGCTAAATACTTTGAAAGAGAACTTTGCCACTTACTCAAACAGGATTGATTCTAGTGGAGGATACCTGTGATTAAGAAAAAAATTTGAGAAGGCAAATATATCTTGAAAATAATAATACATCTTGTTTTGGATGTTTTTTTAAAAAGAGACAAAATGCTTACATTGTAAAATGATGCTCTTAATGTTTTTTGAGGCTCATTATAATAGGAGGAAGATGGGTATACAAGTATATATAAATATTGATTATCAACATAGATCTTTAGTTATATTGCTCTCATCTGGTTGTGGTGCCCCTGGGTGCTATATTTTGGACAGTAAATGTGTCAGAAAGTCCATGTCATGTCCAGTGTCCTGTTGGAATCTGTTGTTCATAAATCTTTGAACTAGAATGTTTATATTTGTTACGTATATAATTGGTGCCTACCTAGCATCAATGTACGTAGACAATTATATTACAGATGACAAGCCAAACATTATCCAAATGTTATAAACCCAATTTTTTGAGGGATTGAACAACAAATGAATTTATGAATTATTTTCTGGCAGGATATCAGCATTCGCCAACCTGCAGAGGGTCCACTTGTTATTAGTTAATTTAGGTAGTCTTAACTATGTAGTTACCATTTATAGATAAGTTATTGATACATTTGATTCCTTTCTTTTTAGATGACAAGAGTGTTTTTCTAAGCTGGTTCTTGAGATTCCTTGAATATTTGTCTAAATATTCCCACATGTTTTTTTATTGAAAATTGAAAATGTCCTCTTATCATATTAAAACCAAATATCTTATGCCATTTTGTAGGGTCAGAAAATGCACCCTTCCATGTATGATGATCGCCTTCGGGTAACCTACAATCTTAGACAGAGGTTGAAACGTGACAAGAGGCCATTATTGGGAAAATCTACATCTGATGGAATCTCTTCAGATTCTTCTGAAAGAACACTTGGAGGTTTGGAGAGAACCCCAAGTCCTCGTACGGAAGATGGTGCTGAGAAACAGTTACTTGACTCTAGTACTTCACGCTTAAGTCTTGATAGATATGCCAGAGTGCAAGTCCCTGTGGGGCCAAACCATCAAGCTGAAGTGCCAGAATGGACTGGCATGACTTGTGAGAGTGATTCTAAGTGGTTGGGAACCCAAATATGGCCTCCAGAAACTGTAAATTCCAAGCTTCTTTTTGAAAGGGACCCCATTGGAAAGGGAAGAGAAGATTCATGTGGCTGCCATGTACAAGGTTCTGTTGAGTGTGTCCGATTCCACATTGCTCAGGAAAGGTCAAAAGTTAAGTTGGAATTAGGTGAGGCTTTTTACCAATGGAATTTACATAAGGCGGGTGAAGAAGTTAGGCGTTTATGGACAGTCCAAGAAGAGAAGAAGTTCAAAGATGTGGTTAAATCAAATCCTCCTTCACTTGATAGGTGCTTTTGGGATCATCTGTTCAAAACATTTCCTATGAAGAGCAGAGAAGATTTAGTCAGCTACTACTTCAATGTCTTTCTCTTGCAGCGCAGAGGATACCAGAATAGGCATACTCCTGATAACATTAACAGTGATGATGATGAATCAGAATTTACACCATTGAGGAAAGTTTTTGGACATAAATCACGCAGCTTCACCTTATTATCCCCCAAAAAGCCATTGACAAAAGGGAAAATAGCAAGTCCTCAATGTTAGCCAAATCATGAGTCTCATTGAGTATATAAATTGACAATTTTGTGTCTCTTCACTGCAGCAACTTTCAGTATCAATGGATGGATCTTTCTCTCCTAGCTTAGAATCTTATATTGTCGCTGATTTTGAGGAGTAAAAGATTGGAACTTAAAGGATTGATTTGGTGTAGGTCCAATATAGGAGAGATGAAAGATGATGTTTTTGGAAGCTGTCAAGTATGAAGATCTGGCAGCTTAGAAGGTGGGGTTGCTTTAGTTTACATGCTTTCAATTTTGAGAAATACCATCTGTCTGTTAGCAGTGATACATTGCAACCACAGGATCTCTTAAATTGCACATTTTCTTTCTTATTTTCACCAGGTTTTGATCACAAGGGTTACTTAATTAAAAGTCAAAACAACAGCATCAAGAATATATATATTATATATATCTATATATATAGCAACATTTTATTGTAGAGTTTTATGAACTAATACAGCAAAGTGTTATTTGAATTTCACCCTTTCATCTGATGCGAGTTTATGTTTGAATGTTTCTTTCAATGTTATGTAGGAATTGTTTTGGCTCGGGTATTTGCAAGTTTGTCTATTACCTTTTTTCTTTATATACCTGGTAATTCTATGTTCTATCCATGCTCTCTACTAAGGGCGTGTGAAAGAGCTATTGGAAACCTTAGAATTCACCATAATTAACTATAGAACTCATGTATTATATTTAAAAAATTTGTATTGTCATTTTTCTAAGGTAACCTTATCTTATAACTTAATAATAGGAGAGAAATCAAGTCCCTTTTTTCCGCCCCCTCTTTTTAATCTTTTATGTTGCAAGTAATCTGGACATGAAAGAGTGTAAGGAAAGCATGATGTGAATCAAAACTTTTTTTATCCAACTATTCCAACTAAAATGTGGTTCAGTACAATGCTCATAATCTACGTTGTATCCATGCTTTGCTAAGGGCGTTTGGAAGTGCAAATGAAAATTTTATAAAATAATTTATGATTTTCATAAATTTTTAAATTTTGTTTTAATAAGCTTTTTAGAGTCTCATTAATAGTGCAACTCACTCAAGTTGCATATGTAATTATTTTATAATTTTTGTGGGATCTATTAGAATATATTATTTTATGCAACTTCATATAATTTTAAGCAACTCTCTTCTATCAGGGGCAACTCTATAAAATACATTAAATGAGAACCATAATGTATCTCATATTCTTGTCTATGCAAATGAGATTTACAATTATTTTATTTGTTTTGTTCTTTTTAGTGAGTCTAGAACATTTCTTATTTAACTCTTCGAGAACGAAAGATTTCACTCAATAATTAAGAATTTGTTTATTCCATATAGAACCTAATTTTACATGTCATGCAACCCTAATAGAGCAACGAAATTAAGAAACGATTTCTTATCACATGCAACTGGTTAAACAATCTCGTTAAAGATGCTCTTAGTATAGTTTATTAAAATAAGTTCATTTTAGTTTATTCTAATGAATTTTATGACCAATCATCATGTGATAAGAGTTTATTAAGAAAACGCTTAGTTAAACTATTTATCTAAATGCACCTAAATATATCGTATATGCACTGTTGAGTTATTTGTATCCTGTGTAGAACCAAGAGCCTTTTGACCCTTTTAAGCTTCTAGAGCAGGAAAAGCGCTTAACCATTTGGGTTTAGTTCGTGTATGGTCTTTTGCATGAATACAATTGTAGTGTGATTTTTCATGCACCGGTTATCTCATTTAGAGATAGCATCTAAAATAACTAAAATGGTTGCGTGTTCATCAATCATCATTGTGACTGAATGAGTAACAAATATTCATTGAATCATTGCAAGTTGGAACTACTTTGGATAGGCAAATTTCAGGACGCAACCTCAAAATACATTACGATTAATCTTGGGAAGTTGATATTTCTTCTCTTAGCTACTTTAAGCAGATTTAATGCCGTCCTTGTACAGTTACTTCGGTCAAGGATAAAAAAATGTGCATACGTGAAGGTACTATTTCTTGTAGAAGGAAAACTTCAAACAAAAAAGATTAGACCAATTTTATGTTTTATCATATTCGTATGTAAGGAACGGTTATTAGGCTGATGGGTCAATGTTGGCCTCAAATACATATTACATTATGATGAACTTTATGCTTTTTAAAGAGCAGTGTAAGTGTTGAAAAAAGAATAGTAAAAGTATGGTTAGATTAGATTTTTCCTTTTTTAGGTACAATGAAGTTTTTTTTTTTTAATCTAGAGGAGGGGATGATAAGAATTAGGAGCACATAAAAGTGTGATTTTTTTTTTTTGCATATGGCAAAGTTTGAACCACACTCCTGACATTTTATGTCCCTCTCTGGCTTTATCACTAAACTATCAATTAAGAAAGACTAATAAATAAAGTTTGAACTTATCAATGTACAAGTAGAATAAGATTTGAATTTATGTAATTGAATTATTTATTTTTTATTGGCTAGTTGGTGTGAAACCTCTCAATCTAGCTCAACCCTCCATTTTAAGCTAATTATTTTGGGTCAAACCTAATTTATGTTCCCTATATATCCTATTATATTATAATTAATATTAGTTTAACATCATCTTTATCAACACAAATGTCACATTATTCCCTCACCAATTATTAAAAGTTAATAAATAAGTGTTGGGCCAATATATTCTCTTTAGCCCTTTTAAAAATATTTTTTAAAAGTTTTTGTTGGTCCTTACAAAATTCTAGGAATATTTATTGTCTTTTCACATATTTGTCCTTCATTTTTTTAATATTTGTGATCTTTTAAAAATTAGAGTAATTATATAGTTTAGCTTAATTCGGAGTACATTTAAAATGCTGCAATTTTTTTTTAAAAAAATTCAATACCTTAATTATTTTGAAAAAAAATTTCTTGATATGTGTAATTTATTTGAAAGGTTTTTATAAAATGATTGAAGGAAGTACTATGTAAATAATTTTATTCGTTTCATTTTTTAAGGTTGAGTTTAAACAAATAAAAATAGATTTTGTTTTATTAAAAATAATAACATTTATTATAATTTTATATTCTTAATATAATAAATATATTTAAATAAAAATTTATCACTTAGTTTATTATCCTCTCAACCTCTAGTCAGATGATATTAACATTTTTTTTATATTTAAATAACAATCGTACAAATAACCAGGTTTCATGTCGCTTTGCTTGGGTATAAAATTGAGGTAACAAGGATGGTTCTTTCTTATAATGCTGTTGGACTAGCAAGAATTTGAGCCCATCATTTTCATGGACCTAATAAATTCCAAGAATTAAACAATCTCTTTGATATGACAATTTATTTCTAATTTTATTTCTTAATTTTTAATAATTATAAAAATATCATATCATTTTTATTACTTTTTACATAAATCTTTGAAGAACGAAAATAAAATTGTGTTTTTCACGTTTATTTATAAAAGTAGAAATAGAAAACATGTTTTCACTTTATTGTATAGTTAAGGCTTAAGATTATTTAATGATCTCTAAATTCTTCTACTTCCTTGACAATAGTTTAAGACTGTTTGTTAATAATAATAATAATAATAATATATTTAAAAATTATTATAATTTTAATATAATAAAGACTGAGTTTAACAAAAAAATTTTTTTACACTCTAATTCTTTTCTATTTTAAACCTACTTTCTTATTAAAAATGAATTACACAGTTTTTTCTTGAAATTAAAAATTTGGCTTAGTTATATTTTTGGTTCTTATAAATATTGATAATTTTGTGATAAGTTTGTATAAATTTTTTTTGTTAGAATTTAATCTATGTAAAGTTAGAAAATTAATATTTATTTCTTGTTGTCAACTCTTTTTTATTAAGTACTGAATTAGTTAACAACTTAGCACTCTTACATAGTGTCACATGCATGCCACCTCATTTATTTATTTTTATTTAAAATTACATAATTATAAATAAGTCTTTAAACACATTTTACATAATTGTATAAAACTCTTTTATTTTTCCTTCTTGCTTCTCGGTAGGCCCTCTCACATTGAGGAATTGGTCTGGAACTCAACACCTGAGTTCAAATTTGGCTAAAAAAAATGTGCATTAGAAAATCCAGAGTAATATGAATTGAGAAATCCTTGATTTCCTGTCAAAGGGAGAGACAAATGAAGATAATTGTTAAAAAGTCATCTGGTTTAAATTAACATCTAGAACATATGGCGCCTCAAACCAAAAAAACAAAAATTCAAAAGAATAAAGTAAGACAATATAAAAGTGCCCATTTTATTTTTTTTTACCTCCAGAGTAAGATGCAGTAGTTTTGATTTTTCCCATCATGCCATTAAAACAATTTCAGATGGCTCCTAGGGATGGCAATGGGTAGGGTATGGGTAGGGTACTACAGTACCCATCCCCATACCCGCGTTTTAAAAAAATACCCGTACCCGGACCCATACCCGCGTGGGTATGAACATTAATCCCCGTACCCGTACCCTCTGGGTACCCGCATACCCGTCTTGTACCCATTACCCGCGCTTGTTTGAGAAAAAAATGTTTATAAAGAAAAATATGTTTATATAATTTCACATAAGTAGCATAATAATACAAAAATTCAATATGTAGTTGTCGAACAAGGTACAAATATAGATAAAAAACAAATATTCAAAGATCATAAATGTTAAATGTATCTTAATATAATAATTTTCTAGACTAAAATTCTTAGAAACAATAAGCAAAACTAAACACACAAGTTATTTGTCAGTGATAATCCTATCTTGTGTGAGATTTGATTGATTGGTAATGTCAGAACGACAACGAAATAGATCTGTACAATGGTTGTCCCTTCGTGTGGGATCACTTAGTAACCTCTTGTGACGGCATTAAAAACTAACTCTAATGAATAACATTTTATAGTTATTAAGTTTTAGTGAGACAAACATTGAGAATGTGAATAGAGTTAGAGTAGAGAAGTTCAATACTAACGATAGAAAGTTGTTACATAAAATATTTTTTTTAACTTTTGAATTTGAAAGTGTAAGAAAAATAATAGATTTAATTAAAATAATAAATATAATATATATATATATATATATATTAATACTAGTATTTTTTAACTCATATACTATACGAAAGTATTTTATCAAAAATATAAATTTTTAAAAAATTATTTTAGTGAATTAAATATTTATAATATATATAAATTTTAAAAAAATTTGAATAAAAGATAAATAGTTACAATAAAATTTTATAATAAAGAAATATGCGTGTATATTAAAAAAAATTATACTTTTTTATCTTAAAAAAATTAACAAATAAAAATTAACAATAATTTTTTTATATTTATATCTTTTCAAAAACTTCTTTGAATGTGAATAAATAGTAAGAATAATATTATTTAGATTTAATAGATTATAGTTGTGCTTGTAATACATATGTTGCATAAAAAAATATTATTTTAAATTAAAATATAAAAATAAAATTTAAATATTATTAATAAATAATAAGTTTACGGTAATAGTAGATGATTGTA